CCCTGATATAAACTAGGGGATATGTGGTCACATGCTGAAATAGCAAATATCTCACAGAATGGAGGCAGCCCGGATATTAGAGTCACCAAACGGAGGAGAGATTCTGTCAATCTGCATCAGACTTTGAGTAATCTACAAATTAATCTGTTTCCCTGAGCTACTGAGATATCTTTCAGGATTTTCCTGTCGGGACACTCGGTGTTAATTACCCTGATTAAAGGAGATTACATGCCCACCTGAGGGAAAGATATGCCCTGACCAGCCTACACATCATTTGAGATGGAAAGATGTGCTGAGTTACTTGCATTGACTGCATGTAGCTTTATAGTAAGAGAATTCATGTGCTGTTGAGTTAGAGACTCAGAAGTACAAAATACAATTATACCTCTCATTCCCATAAATGGAAAATTGTGCCGTTATCACAAAAAGCACCATCAAAGACAGAATGCCTTTGCAGACACGCCTTTAGCTTTTGGAAAGTCTTCAAAAGACCCATTTAAAAATAAAATATGCTTGGGGCACCTGGGTGGCGCAGTTGGTTAAGCATCTGCCTTTGGCTCAGGTTATGATCCCAGGATCCAGGGATCGAGCCCCAGTTGGGCTCCCTGCTCAGTGGGAGCTTGAGTCAACTCATCAAAGTGACATTTAAAACCTCCTTGTGCTCGTGTGCTCTCTCTGTGTCAAATAAATAAAATCATTTATTATTATTATTTTTTAAAGACTTTATTTATTTGACAGAGAGAGACACAGTGAGAGAGGGAACACAAGCAGGGGGAGTGGGAGAGGGAGAAGCAGGCTTCCCGCCGAGCAGGGAGCCCAATGCGGGGCTCGATCCCAGAACCCTGGGATCATGACCTGAGCCGAAGGCAGACACTTAACGACTGAGCCACCCAGGGGCCCCTAAAATCTTTAAAAAAAATAAAATATACTTAGGTCATGCATAGCACAGAAAAGAGAGGTGAAACTGCAACACCTAACATTTATTGAACAACTACTGTCTAGCCCTGAACAATAGGTAAGAGACACAAATAAGATAATGACACCTTGCGTCTAAACTTTACTGTCTGCTAGTGAGACATCAATACATGTCAAGGAAGCTGAACAAATGGCAAAAGCTCTTTAAAATAAATCATCAAGAAAGCATACTGCTTAATAATACATAACCAAGATTTAAGCTCAGGTCTGCCTGGCTCCAAACAAGGCCCATATTCTTTCTAAAACTCCAAACAAAACAAAGAGAAGAAAACACAGGAGGTGGGGGAAAAAAAAAAAAATGAAGAAACTCACCATGGCATGTGGGATGAATTTGGTACCAAACATCAAACTAGAAACAACAAAGATAACCGTGACAGGTTTGGAACTTGAACTTAAATAATACAACAAACAAATATTAGGCAAGAAAATTCAGTTTGGCTAAATAGAGAACAAAGAGAAACTAACCATGAGGAGAAGTATAACTAAGTATTAACAATACACAAAGAGATAGTGTGGTAAACATAGTCGACATAGATAACTAAATAGAGATGGAAGAACCAAGTTAGGCACCCAACAATTATGAGACACCAAATATTCAAGTCTTAAATGAGTCACCCATCGATTATACCCACGCTGGCCCCATGTGTTGTCTGCCTGAGATATGCAGATAAAAATCCAAAGCTGTTCAGGAGTATATTAGCAAGTTACAACTACACCTAGGCACACTTGCCTCTGATGATAAAGCTGTGTTGGCTCCAGACACGTTCCATCTGCTGAGGCCCCTTGCTCCCATTCAACACTGGTCCTCGTAAAACCTACCGTGATCAGGAAAGGTTGATGTGGTAGAGAAGATGAAAGACAGGATAGATGAATATTGTGTAACACAGGACTCAGAATGTGGGCCTTTCATCCCACTGAAACCCTTTCTACATAGGCAAGCCTACCAGATCTTTCCCTCCTTGCTTTGTGCTGTGTTTTAAATTGATTCAATAAATCTGTGACCAGAATATCTTAATATGGTTTGTGAGCCTTTCTGTACCGAGACTACAGCTCCTGCCTGCATGATAGGATACGTAAGTAGCTGAGGATACCAGGTGTCAAGGCTACAGGAGTAGAGGGGCTCAAGTTATGGACAAAGGCTACAAGGCTCAGGATATCCTTGGAATTGTTCCCAGCACCAGCAAAAGTTGGGGCTGTCAGGAGGAGTGGACTGCAGGGCCCTGATGATACCAATAGAACTTGTCCACCAATTCACCAAAGATTTGATACCTGAACTCACCACAGACAGAATGTCCAGAGTGTAAGAATCAACAAACATGTATTCTAGGCCCCTCTTTCTTCAGCCATTAAAATATGCCAGCTTCCACTCTCGACCCACCTGCCTCGAAATACCCAGGTGCCACGATGGACAGAACAGCGGGAGGTACAAGAGGTCTGAAAGACTCAAGATTCCCGAGAGAGCTTGAGTCATTTCACTAAAGTGACATCTAAAACTAGAAGAGACTGATACAATATTAACTGGCAGGCATGGATCTCATTTGCCTGGGTGTGGTTTATTGAGGAAAAATAGATGTCAATAGTGAAGAAGCTACAACTTCTTTGTAAATATGAGTAGTAATATAAATAAAATGTTGAGTCCACTATGGTTTTACTAGCAGCACTAGTAATATGGAAGAGATAGAAGGAATGAGAAAAAAAAAGGTGGTTAGTCAATGGACATTGAAATGGATTTGTCTTTGGAATAGTCTGTCCCACGTCAATATACATACACATGCACGTGCACACACACACCCAAATATCTGATTACTCTATTGTTTTGTCTAAAGAACTATCTTCTGTGGTATGTGTACACACACACACACACACACACAGAGGAATATTACTCAGCCATCAGAAAAATGAAATCTTGCCATTTGCAATGATGTGGATAGAACTTGAGGGTATTATGCTAAGTGAAATAAGTCAAGCAGAGAAAGACAATTATCATATGATTTCACTCATGTGGAATATAAGAAACAGCACAGAGGATCATAGAGGGAGGGAAAAATAAAATAAGATGAAATCCGAGAGGGAGACAAACCATAAGAGACTATTAACTATAGGAAACAAACTGAGGGTTGCTGGAGGGGAGGTGAGTGGGGGGATGGGGTAACTGGGTGACGGGCATTAAGGAGGGCACGTGATGTAATGAGCACTGGGTGTTACATGCAACTGACGCATCACTGAACTCTACCTCTGAAACTAATACTACACTATATGTTAATTGAATTTATATAAAATAAATTAAAAAAAAAAGAACAACTATCTTCAGTAGCAGGATACCTGAGCAGTTGCTAACATATGTCTAGGTAAAGAAGTCCCAAACTAAAAACAAGTATGCCAGCCCCTATGCTTATATTTATGTGTGATTAGCTCTCACTTTTCTGCCACAAACATTCAAAAAAGTATTTTGTTCTCCAATAGCTATGTTTTTCCAGAAATACTATGCTAAAACTCCTAAAAACATAAACATTTCCTCCTAACTGGGATAAAGCACAAAGGCTAACCTGAAGTTCAAGAATAGGAATGACCGAGAACTGCTTCTCTACTACAGTGAATAATCTTTTAAACGGTATGATTTTTACATCAACCTTACAGGAAATTTTGTATATACTTTGGATTAAACTAAGGAAAAATACAGTTTCCTACGTGGGTCAGTCTACGTTTCAGTCAAGGTAGAGATTAATGCATGCAGGCCAAGGGCAAGGAGTAAGGATCTAATCAGAGATGACTGCAAATCTCATAACATTTAGGTCGATCTGCTGCCTCACATGCTACACATTTCCAGTCCTGAAGTATTTTATAAAGCTGGAAAGATAACCAGCTGGATACCTGGATGCTACAAGCCTCAGGACTAAAAGGACAAGAGACACCGGGACAGGCACACAGGATACCGAAAAGTTCCAAGCACAGAAATGAGGGAGTTTTACTAAGAAAATTCAATCCATGGAGCTGATATACCATCTGGCGACCATTTGAAGCATATGGGTAAAAAATTGTCCAGATATTTCTATATATGTTAAGATGTCATCAAAACCTACAACAAATTGCAGCCATTTCTGAAACTTAAAAAAAAGGGGGGGGGGCAGGGAACATGACCCAATGTGCTGATACAAAAGTGAGTTCAGTTGGTAATAAAGAATAAGATATTTCCACTTAGATCATTTAGAGATAAATAAAATGCTCCCTTGGAATAGAATGCGAGCTTGAAATATAAGTATGCTAAATATGTATGCATTTTCTATATATTGAAATAAAAATTTAAATCACAGCATTCTGTGATTTGTATAATTGATAATACCTGGGTTATTGCAAAAGGTTATATATAAGCACCAACAGAACTGCTTTTGAAATCCATTAATTCAGTCCTAGAAATATACACCATTTCCCGTGGATTTTACACCAGTGTTATTTACTGATGCTACTGTATTATAACAACCAGAAATCTCTACAGTCCATTAAGGATTCACAAACATTTATCGAACAAGCTCTTCCCCGTCACTTTCAGCAACCATGCTGAAACAGAAATTCTAGCATTACTAACTGAAAACAAAAATGTGAATAGAAAAAGGTCATACACACTCAGAAGTAACAAATTAATGGTTATCTTAATTCTTTCTCAATCTAGACACTAGATTTTTCCACAACTGCAATTAAGCATTTGTATTTAACTCATTCAGAACAAAGTCTGAAAGGCTTGAGAGTGCTCTACTTTAAATCAAGTTGACGGAACCGAATAAACTGCCGCAGGCAGGCATCTCCCTTCATCTTTTTTTGGAAAGGCAAGTAGACAAAAATGCTGAAAGCTGCCCAAAACATTGCTTAATGTCCATTTGAATAGATAGGAATTTAAGTAATGAACCTTCCCCCACCTCCCAGAAAGTAAAGACAAAAAAATAGCATAAACATCTCATCGGGACCAGGAGGGCACAGGCCTCTCCTCAGCCCCGCGGAGTCCACAGGAGACAGGGGCGGCCTGTACTCACACAGATGGCCAGAGCGCCTGCCCCCATTCTCGCAGGAAGTGCCTGGTAGAAGTGATGAAGACCAGATGAAAACATCAAAATGACAGCGAAATACTGAAATTCCATTCAGTAGATAGGCTCTCATGTGAAAAACAGCTCCTGATCCAGAGGCCTCACGGCAAGCGAAGCGCAGCTCCTAACATTTTCGGAAGTGTGGCTTTGCTTCTCATTCGGCTGAACCCACATGGCTGGCAGGACTGCCTGGAGTTGAAATCTGATCCAGAGCGTCTAGTATTGGCAAGTAGAGGATGTCATGTGACAGGGGCCTTAAGCTGCTGACATCTTTTTCTTAAACCTGACTTGCCAGATACCACAAACAGGCTTTCTCTGTTCAGAAAACGCCCATCATCTGGTGGCATTCTTTAATAGGACTTAGTGCAAAACGTGAAAATGCAAACTTGCTTCCTCGTTGCTACGCCTAAGAAAACCTCACATATTCACATTCAGGTTGCAAACTGCAGGCACATTCCTCACTTTTCTGAGGCACTTTTCACTTCCAGTGCCCCTTAGAAACCAGTGAAATTCTATCAAAATGTTCTTCCCTCCACTTTGATTCTATCAGTATTGTTCTAAATGAAAATACTCTTATGTAGCTGTTAACCACTTCTAATTACTTTTGAATTATCTTATTCACATATAATGGTGAGAAACATAAAACAACATGTTTCTAGACTTCCACAATTCAACATGTGTGATTTATAGTCTGGAAAATTAGCCTCTAGTTGACCTTTCAATAATGTCCTACTTCATATGCTGTGTCATTAGAAAATGTGACAGACTTCACAATTTCCAAATATTTGAACTGATAGCTAAAATACCCATTTTATATAAGCCAGAAGGAAACTGTTTTATTTTTTTATTATCACCTTTTTTGGGTCAAATCTTTTCTAGTGGCACATTTAAGAGAATGCTGGGGGGCACCTGGGTGGCTCAGTCGTTCAGCGTCTGCCTTCAGCTCAGGTCATGATCCCAGGGTCCTGGGATCGAGCCCCGCATCGGGCTCCCTGCTCCACGGGAAGCCTGCTTCTCCCTCTCCCACTCCCCCTGCTTGTGTTCCCTCTCTCGCTGTGTCTCTCTCTATCAAATAATAAACTCTTAAAAAAAAAATGCTGGCTAATACTGCATGAGGAGTTTCACTTTTCCCAGTTTTAAAGACTTAAATTGTCCTCCATAACAAAACATAATAAAGTTCTATCTTAAGGGGATGGGGGTGGGAAGACAAGGGAAAGCCCAAATCAGCTCTCCATTTAATATTTCCCTTCAAATCTAGTATACTTTTATATTTCTAGTCAACTAACAGTATCCACAGCAAAGCCAGGATAGAAAATTGTGATAAACCAGCCATAGGACATGACAAAGTACATTTTGTTTCTATGCATGCATACAGATCATTGTAAAGACTACCTCCACAAGGCAGAATAACACAATCCCATACAATAGAATGGGAGTGGGGGAATGGACATAATTTCTCCATTGAAAAATAAAACTTTTTTCTACCTCCACCTAATCTAGGTTTTATCACTTCTGTTTTCCATTCACCCATTAGAAAACTAGGCTAACTGTTAAAGCAAATTATAAAACTTTTTCTATTAAAAATGTGTCTTCTTTTTGTGATTATATAAGTGTTGCCTGTCTTTGGTGAAAAATGAAAGCCTGAAGATCAGGTCGCCTATAGGCTCATCACCCAACATTACCCAATCAACATTTATTACCATACAAAATACAATGATAAGAAAGACCTAGTACCTTCTCTCATGGATCATCCAATGGAAGGAGGGAGGAATGAAAATAAGTAAATAAAGCTTTTTGATTAGTAATTGCAGAGGCGCTAATAAAGAAGCAGAGATGAGGTAGTGAAAGAATAACAGAACACCTAGAAACATTTAGCATATTTTCATTCTTTCATGTTTTTAAAAAACATGATTTAAATCTAGTTTGATAGTTTTATGTTGTTTTTCACTTAACACTGTATCACACAAACATAGTATCACAAGTTTACTCCCATACCGTTAACAGTGCAAACAATTTTCATCATTTACAATACTACATTCTGTATAAAAGTTGGAGTCATTCTCCCATTTTAGACATTTACATGGTCTCTGATTTTATGTGTGTATGTAAGTAATGCTCTATCTTCATTATGATTATTTTCTAGTCAAGACTCCAGAAAGTGAAGTTTCTAGATCACAGAGAATATTAACATGTGCTAAGGCTCTTGACATATATTGACTCTGGCAGTTTACATTCTACAATTCATGCTACCGAAGTTTGAATATTTTTAAAAATATTTCCTAATAAATGAAAAGGATTTCTCATTCTAAAACTTATTTCTTTTTATTATTAAAGATATGAAAATTCCTCATTATTCATTTGTATTTTCTCTTCTGTGTGTTGCTTTGTCCATTTATCAAATGGAAGCTTACCAAGTCTTTTTTTTTTTTTTTAAGATTTTATTTATTTATTTGGCAGAGAGAGACACAGCGAGAGAGGGAACACAAGCAGGGGGAGTGGGAGAGGGAGAAGCAGGCTTCCCGCGGAGCAGGGAGCCCGATGCGGGGCTTGATCCCAGGACCCTGGGATCATGAGCCGAGCCGAAGGCAAATGCTTAACCGACTGAGCCACCAAGTCTCTTTTATAAGCTCATTTTAAGGATTAAATGATACAATCTATAAAAAGCACTTAGTGTAGTACCTGGAAAATGGTAATAAAAGTAACAATTTTGGATGCTTATCATATGGTTGGATTATAGATCTATTTGGAAATTTTTTTGAAATATAATGAAAAATGAGGATCTAAATTGATTCAATTTTTATTTTGCATTTAACTACTGTGGCCCACACTGTTAACTCTCTCCAGTATGCAGTCTCTCTTTCTGATACTATTCGAGCTTCTTCTCCCTCTTAGTTGGGGCTGAGCCCATAGTTGTGCACCCAGAGACTACATTTCTCAACCTTTCATACCAGTAGATAGGGCCGTATGACGATGTACTCATTAACAGAGTGTGAGTGGATAGGATATGTATGACTTCTGTGTCACATGCTTCACAGGAAATCTCTTACTACACATTTACTCTCCTTCCTTTCATCACAGGCTGGAATGCGGGTGCACCTCACTTCCACCATGGAGAGGGGAGAATCCCAGGGGAGGAAAGAGTGAGTAGATGGAAGGAACCTAGACCTCTGAATGACCTTGTGGAATATGGCTACATTAACAAGCCTATATCAATTAAACTCTTACATGAGAAAGAAATAAAACTCTCAAATATGCTACTGTATTTGAAAGTACTGTGTGTGTATAAAATAAGTTATCTTTAATATACTAACCAAATGACTCTGTCCCATTTATTGGGCAAGTTTTTCATTTCCCATATGATACTATCCATACTACATATTAAATTCAGATATACATACACACACATGCACAACCAGAGTCTTTTTCAGGCTAATATATTCTGTCTAGGTTTTTCTTTCTTTCCTACTGTCTAGTTTTATTCCACTTCCATAATATTTGAATAGCTATATCTTTATAATTTACTTAAATAGCTGATAAAGATAGCCTTCTCTCATTATTTTTTTTTAAAGATTTTATTTATTTATTTGACACAGAGAGAGTGAGAGAGGGAGACAGAGAGAGACAGAGAGCACGTGCACAAGCAGGGGGAACAGCAGAGGCAGAGGGAGAAGCAGGCCTCCCGCGGAGCAGGACCCTGGGATTATGACCCAAGCCGAAGGCAGATGCTTAATGACTGAGCCACCCAGATGCCCTCTCATTATCTTTTTCAAAATTTTTCTGCTCCTTTCCAATTTTTCATGATGGATTTCAAAAACATTCAGTAATGTTAGAACACATTGGAGTATCAAAATATTATATCTCCTGTTATTTTTTTTTCTAACACATTTAAACATCTTCTTTCTATTTTAGATAATACTACATAAGGATGACAAAAAATCTAATCCTAATTTTTACAAGTACTTACACACTATTATAAGGTGAAATTAGTACCGTGGCAAATGTTTATCCTTATTCTTGGTAAGGACTACATTTCACTGCAAAAACAAACAAAAACAAAAAACCCTAAATATGCCATTTAACAAAAGGTACTAAAACACATTCTTCACATCAAACAATGTTTCTCCATGGACTGTATCTGAAAATTAGTCTCAACTATTCCCCTCCCCACCCCCCACCCCCCTGCCGCCAGAGATGCAAGTGAGAGTAGAGTCCAATTCCAGAAAGTTCTCTGAGCTGGCAAATATATATACTCCTAAGTATTGATTTACAAAGAATCTGAAAATACATAAACCACGGCCAAAATATGAGCTGTCCTCCCCCCCCCCCCCGAAAGAATAAAGGAATTGTAAAAAGTACTTTCAGAATAGTTCGCTCTGATAGGCTAATTCCATGACTACTCCCAGAAATGCTGAAATACCAGGTCAGGACAAAGGAGGTCCTATTTTCAAGATCCGTGGGCTCCCTGAGGAAGAAGTCAAGAGGACTTCACAACTGATGGTCAGGCCCCTCAGATGCTGTCATTCAAAGGACCCTCTAACCTGGGGAAGGTGAATGAAGGAAGCTAAAAAAGACCAGGTTATCCCGTAGCCTCCAAAAATCTAAAAATGCTTCAAAGTTGAGCTCTCTGATGTTAACTGGCAGAACTATCAGTTTTCAAAAGACAAAATCTCTTCAGCTGGAGTAGCAATAACAGTTGTCAGAAGAACAGCAGTGGTCAGCAGAAATAGTACTTCTGGCCACGTAGCAGAGACCAGCAAGTATCATGGGGTGTGGTGGTGGCGGCACTGACAGCATCAACCACCTGATGCCCACTGGAACTGGGACATCGGAGGCTTTTTCCCCTGAACGCCATCTGTCTATGCTCCAGCTCTGCTTCCACCTCAGCTCTTTCTCCAGGAGGATCCCAGCCTGGACCAGAATCAATGGCACCCAACCAGACAGGGTATCAGAAGCCAGTTAGTCATCAGCTATTGATTATTTATGCACTCCCTCTTAACCAGAGAGGTTCAGATATTTTGGGTTTTGACTCCCTAGCAGTTAGAACAAGGTCCCTTGTTCTAGGTCAGGAGTCAGCAAACTCCAGCCTGGGAGTTGCATGTGGCCGCCACAGGCCCAATCCAGCTCCTCTAGACCAACTCTGGTTGCACCCATCCGTCTACATGTGGATGGCTGCGTTGGTACTAC